AAGTGCTTCCAATATTGAAGATAGCTTTGCTTGAAACGATCCTCTTCCGCTTTGTGACCATCTTCCACATCTAAGGGAACATAATCGAAGACAACTTCGCTTGAAGTCATCTTCAGTTATTTGTGACAACTCTCCACAATCTAGGGAACGCTGTTGAAGACATCCTTGTATGAAGCTATCCTCATTTGTTGCGATAATTTTCCAAAGGAAATTACCGAAGACCTCCGCTTGTCGATCTTTAAAAGTTCGCTTGAACTTTGCTTCAGCTATGCCTGTACGTCGGCGCTTTTGCTGCTTTTGAACCTGTATGTCAGTGCCTTTTTCTGAATGAATGAACCAATATGTCAGTGCTTTTTGCGATGAGCCAATGCTTAGGCGCTTTAAGCTAAGTGAGACGATCTCTCATCAGGTCGATCACTTGTGTAATCAAGCCGATTACTAAAAATCGTGTCAAATTGCATAGAGGGGCTAACTTGCGTACCAAGGAACCCAAAATATATCGCAAAATGTTAGAACAATCGTACTAAGTGGCTGGACATTCTGGCGCCGCTGAAAGAACATCAGCGCCAATAATCTGGTTGTAGCGCCAGGCGCTACACCTATCAACTGACACCAAATTCTGGCGCTTGGCGCCAGAGTCGGGTATTCCTTAAATACCCTTCTCTTCTTCATTTTCGCTGCTGCTCGTCGCGTTTTTTGCTCGAAAATTTCTGGAAATTCATTTGCTTCGTTCTTGCTCGTTTCTCAACCAAATTCGCTCAAATTTTTTGCAAATCAAAGCTAATTTTATCCATTTTCCCGATCTATGTATGTTTTCTTCAAACTCACATTGGTTTTATTGAATTTTGCATGTGTTTCTTTTCGAATTTCATGAAAATTCAAAATTTAGAATGCTTAATTCTCTTTGTTTATCAAATTTTATGCCATAAAATTGCTTGATGATGTTTATATATTGCCTTGGAGTAATTTGAGACTTTTTTGACTCAATTTGGTGAAGAAATGAACGAATTGCCATTGTTGAACCTCTTAAGGTCGGGAATACAATGTGGCTCGTTCTTGATGTTTTTGCTAGCATTCTTGTCTAATTTGTCACAATAATCACAATAGTAATGCAAGAAATTGTTTGATTGCTTGAAAAATGCCATTATGCTTAATTTGAATTTGTGCTCTATTTTAGTACTACGTACTCTCTTTTCTTTTTTTTGCGAACATAGTATCATGTGGCTAGGCGAACCTTAGATACTATAGAAACTTAATTCATGATAATTCTGCACAATGTAGCATGGCTAGAAAACGAGGTTCCGATTCACGGTCTCGAGACGTTCGACGGGAGCATGAGCCCGTAGAGGACGATGCTGAGTCGTCCACTTCGCTTGGTTGATTCCCCCAGTGGGATGAGTGAACCTTATATTTTCCCCCGTCCATCACATTTCTGAGAGGGTGATACGGGGCATCACTGTTGGGAGGACGCGCTGTCATGATCAGACGAGACTTCTATGGGAGTCTTGCGGGCTTGCTGCGCTGTACGAGACCTTTGAGGCAATGGTTGTCTCCAGCGGGGGTCACCTTGTAGTTCGTGCTCTGGTGGAGTTCTTTTGGGACACCACCAACACTTTCCACTTTCCACTTTCCCTGGGGTGAGATGATAGTCACTCCTACTGACTTCAGTCTCATCACAAGACTGAAGTTTAGTTCCATGTCACTATCGTTCGACAGTGGGATCGACGTCTTTTCCCTTGAGGTCGAGGAGCTGTTGGGTCCGATTGCTATTCGGGCTCGAGCTGATATTGAGTCGACTCAGTTCAGTGCGAGGAGGGTTCGCCGCTCGACTCTAGCAGCGGCTTTGGACGATGGTGCGACTACCCGAGAGCAGCGGGTACGCATCTTTGCACTCATCTTGCTGTCAGGGACGTTCTCCCCTGACAAGGGTAGTAAAGCGCTGGTTTACTACCTTCCTGCCGTCCGCGATCTACACCGGATCGGGACTTATGACTGGGCCAGCTTGGCCTATACTGATTTCATTCGAGCGCTGCGGGACTCGTGTCGACATCGGTCCTTAAGGACGAATGTTGCTTTGTCCAGCTTTTGGAGGGTAGTAGAGGTAAACCTTATTCCCTGTAAAGTTTAGCTCTACGTTTAGTTAGCATTTACTGATAACTTAAGCTTCTTGTAGATCTGATTCTACGAGTACTTCCCCTCAGCTGCGCCGGCGAGACCGTCACCGCGCAGGTTTCCAGTTAGTGCTTCCTGGGGCAGCCGTCGTGTGGGGATTTCCACTGCATATGTCCGAGATTGGATCATGTCGGTATGATTATTTTCTTATTTGACATTTTGAGATGCTTTAGATAGATTCTTGCCTGATTGACGCTCTTTGCATGAGCCTGAGCTGTTGTACCAACCGTGGATCGACCTGGCAGTCCTTAGGTTAGCCGCGTAGTATTCTGCTAAGCGTCGCTATTTCTTGGGGAATTATGGAGCGACTGCATACCTTGGAGAGAGGGTTGCTATTTAGCATTCCTCCGATACATTTGTCGTTCCTGCTCCTCCACCACGTCACATGTTTAACGCCACGAGGTTGTTGAGCATGTCAGAGGGAGCTGGTACCCCTTGGCGATCTTACACGATACCTGGGCGATGCTATGAGGAGGAGCTACCGCCGTTGTTAGCTCCAATTCCTGTACCTGTTGAGGATGTGGCGGTACGATTTTTCAAATTTTACCTTGAGTGAAGTAGCCCCCAAGTAATGCTTTACTGATTTTTTTTTTTCTTTGCTAGGACGATACTGCTGAGTTCGTGCCACCCCGTATGTCTATCCATTATCAGGGGACATATGGGCCGATTGAGGAGATGATTCCTCCGGCTCCTGAGGACGAGCGCTTTGTGGAGCGGTCGATTCCTCGCCACCAAACTCGGGTAAGCTTGTTTATTTGCAACTTTTGTCCGTATATGTTATGCATGTTTATTAACTTATTTCTTTGACAGTTCTCACGCGAGGTGGTTTCGGCGATGACATGATGCATAGATGCCTTCCGGAGCCAGCTTGTCCGGATGAGGAATGTGGCTACCTGTCGTCGAGATGACACTGTTCAGGAGGTAGTGTTCCCTTCATATGTTTTTGTATTACACTAGTGGAAAAAAGGTCATCCGTACGAGCAAAAAGAGCCCATCCATAACGGGCAGCGTCCGTTACGTATGTGGCCGTTACGGATGGCCATTATTATTCATAACGGGTACCGTCCATTACGAATAAGTACTTATTCGTAATGGGCATTTCAGTTGCCCGTTACGAATACCCCATTATTTGTAACGGGCATCTCAAACACCTGTTAGATTCTGCCCGTTACGAATACTTTGAGATTCAATTAAAAAAAAATCCAGCACATGCTAGACAGCTAGCTAGCTTACACAATTATTTTATCACTAAATATATATATTTATTTATTTTATACAAGTATAGTATACACTTAATAATTACAGAAAAATATACAATCAGCAATTTAATTATTTCCTAATATAACTAAAACTAAAAACAAAGCAAAAGCAAATCTCAAAACAAAGCAGCTGCTCACAAATGAACACACTACATTCCAGAAGCTACTCTCAGATTCCTTGAAGCAGCTGATTAGGTAAGCGATTGGCTTCAGAATTTGTATAGTGTGGTGAAGCTTTGGTGATGTGCATACAAAAGTAACGAATAATCCCTCGGACCATCCCCTAGTCTTTTTAGTGCCATTACAACTGCTCTTCTTTCAGCACCTTTGGTGGAAGGCTGGCTAACTGTTTCCACCAGTTGATAGCTAACTTCAGTCTGCTTGCTGTAATGGCATTTTGGAGCGCTATCAACATCGTTGTTTTGAGGGATCCCCTGTCATTGGCATCTTCCACCACTGTCTCTACTTCGTCTAGAGCTGCTAATGCTTCCTCCACCCTTTTCTTAGCTAGGAGCACTTCTAGGGACTCGAGGAATTCATTCAACTATGTCTCAAATCATATAATTTTGTTGGATTGTCCTTAAATAAAAAAAAATGAGAATCCAAACCACACGAAGACCGATATTGACTAGTCCCAAGATACATCAAACAAATGATACAGAAAATAAAAAATGAACCAGCACCACAAACAAGACGAACAAAACACAATGAACTAAAAAAACGGAGGTCAGAAGACAAAGTAAATTGAAGGTATCAGGTATTACCACTTGAGGGTGTCCCAAGTAAATTATAAAAAGTTAAAATAACAAAGAATTGCAGATTTGCAGAAAAATGTTAAATAATCATGTCATAAATTATTATATCTATGTCCAAATATGATTAAATCCCAAACTTCAGTCTAAACAGTTAATCACACAAACAAACCATTCAATAATTACAATCAAAATTACTCCTATTCTCCATTAATCAACAATAATCAAGCTAAAAACAATCATCAATTTCGCATAATTTGTACAGAAAACAAGCAAATTCAGAAGATACAAACAACATTTCAGTAAAAAAAAAAATAAATCAAAAACAGAAGAAACATACGTTAACCACCACCAAGGACCTTATGAACAGGCTTATCTCTACCAAAAAGACGATAATTCTTAGACTTCAAAGAAGGAGCAGATTTATCGTCATTCGAAATTGGAAGAAGAAGAATCATGGTAAAAATTACATACCAGTTGGTGCTCATAAAGCAAGCACAATAAGGAAAAAAAATGGGGCAAATGACTGCTAAAATTTATCAGTCTTCCTATGCAAAAACACTAGAGAACTTTTTTTTTTGTATTAAGCATTAATCAAGAAACATGTAAACTTTTTGTAAAATCAAATATAGTGCTTGTTGAACATGAATACATTGTCAAGCTAGCATATTATCTAATTTGACTTTTGACTGTACTAGCCAATAGAGAATTAGGTAAGCAACTTCACCTACTTGATGAGGACCAACTAGAATCAGAGAAAACCCAAAAGAATAAAACAACATATGATTTGCTTTATTTTTTTGTGATGATACCGCAATATACCATACATAATCAGCAATCATGTACTTACTCATATTTTCTAGCGAGAATCCGCAAAACAAACAGAGCACCATAGACCTGTTGATCTTGCAAATTATGCTTCACCCAGTGAAGAAGGCCAGGCCACTGCTCAGGGTAATCAACATGGATAATTGTTTTGAGGCACTCGCCCAACTGCACCCTATAAATGGCTACCACAATAAACATCAAACGCCCTTCAAAAATGAAATTTGGATATGATAGCTCACATAGATAATAATAGCACATCAAATAGCCATACCTCAAAAGCGGTAGAACTTGAACCACAAACACAAGGATATTTTCTCTCACTAAGGCTTTATCAGCCGATGAGATCTTTGATTGCTCATCTGAAATTAAAAATAAAAATATAACCAAGCATACAATATCAATATTGAATGACCGAGCTACGACAATTAAAGTCAAAGTCTTAACCACTACACGAAAGGAAATGAACTGGGATCATGAGGCGACCAATTCTTGGCAATAAAGTTCTTGAAATTAATACTAGCAACCTGTCTCACTGCCATATCGCAATTCCCATCAACTATTATATGTAATAGCCTGATTGTATCATAGATAGAATGACTAACATTGCAATAGGATCATAGATAGAATGACAAACATTGCAATAACTTAACATATTATCTGTTCTTGATAAAATATAGAAATGCATAGATAGGATCATATATAGAATGACTAACATTGCAATAGCTTAACAAATTATCTGCTACCATCTGTTTCAGGGACTAACATATATAGTAACATTTCATTAGCTTCTATCAACTACAAAAAATCAATCTACTAGTGATTAAATTGACAAGCGATCATTAACTGCTACAAGGAATAGACATAATTCACATAAAATCAGCCTTTTATTCATCAATACCTAGAGATAAAATAGTGGTACAAATTTGACACATACCCAAATCCAAATCGAAGGTAGCCTCTAAAGTTTTGTTTTTTTTAAAAAAAAAAATTAATAAATCAGAAACTAGTGATTCAGATCAGTGCAAGGATTGAAAAATGCAAGTCATATGCTTAACAGAACTCGAAGAACCCTAGAATTAATCAACATGCCATATCGGGTTTCTTAGTTCTCTCTATAAACAAAAAAAATTACAAAAAAATTCGGCAATCAGGTATTAATCGACAAAGATGAACAAAATTCATTACTGATTGCATGTATTACTCGTTTCTATTGAAGAACAATTTTTTTAGATTTATTATTCGTTTAGACATAAAAAGGATAATCGAACCATACAAATGCCAAAAATGAATCAAATACAAATTGCATGTTGAAAAAAATAAAGCAAATTATAATTCACAAGAACAAATTCAAGAATTTAAACAATTAGATGCCTAGAAATCAATTCAAGAAGAGGAAAAAACAATTGAAGGACTTCTTACCTCACGATCTAAAATGGTTGAAGTTTTAGGCAAAGCTATCCCAAATTATGATAATTGTTCTTCAGTAGTTTTTGACAATTCGCCGCTATTTAGATCCAATATCTAGAATTTACTATAAGAGAAACGACAAATTAACACTGATTTCTTTTTCTTCGCACTATGCACCGCCCGTAATAAAATCTTCGAACACTTTTTCACATACCCATCAACCATAATTTCTCTATAAGAGCTTAAAAAGAGAGGAGGAACAAGGGGTAGGAGGACGGAGGAGGAGAGAAATAGCACAAGTGTTTTGAAAACTCAAATTGATGGAGGAGAAGAGAAAGAGGCTGGTGAATGACGGGGAGGAGAGGGGAGGAGAGAGAGAGGGAGAGAGGGACTGATGAGAGAGAAAGAGGTGTGACGGCTATTAGGTGAAACCCTAAAAAGCCAAGTACGGGCTCCTCTCAACAGTTGGGCCTGTTACGTGTAATATAGTATTCGTAATGGGCAAAATAGTGTCCGTTACGAATACTTATTTATTCGTAACGGGAAAAATAGTGTCCGTTACGAAAACGGACACTATTTTGCCCGTTACGAATAAATAAGTATTCGTAACGAACACTATTTTGCCCATTACGAATATCTTAATTGTAACGGGCAAAGCTTTGCCCGTTACAAATATCCTGTTACAAATGAGATTTTTTCCACTAGTGTTACCGCTTCTATTTTTTTTGTTTCTGACTTTAATTTCCTTTGCAGGGTCAGCCCATTCCTTCTCGTACCCGCACGAGACCCGAGGTGCGAAGGGATCCGACAAGGTCTAGCTCGAGACGTCGCCGTACTACTTCGGGAGGTAGGGGCGGTCGTTCCGAAGCTGCTAGGGTAGAGGGCTCAGGTTCTTCCTCAAAGGGTGCACATGTTGCGCCGGTAGGCTAGGGAGAGGCTACCTCGGCTCTTAGAGGTGGTGGGATGTACGAGGTTGGCTCGTCATCACAGCAGCCTCCACAGGCTCAGCCTCAGGTTGATCTCGGGTGGACAGGTCCTACGTTGAGCTTTCCTCCTCCCGCGGAGACTGAAGCTGATGTTGGAGCTGGAGCCGGAGCAGGTGGAGAGGTTACTCCTCGTACAGCGGAGTTTTATGCGATGATGGATTTACGTCCCCCGGCGTCGTAGCTTATACATGTGCTTTTTTATTATTTATTTGACTTTGTATAGAACTTTGCCTTTTAGTTAGACTCATTTTTTAGACATATTTGTATACATACTATTATGAGTTTATTTTATTTATCATGTTTTATCATTTTTTATTATTATGTGCATGTTTGTGTGTGCAAAGAAATGTGACAAATGATTTTGCGCAAAAAATCCGTCATTTTTATTATTGATGGAGGGTATCCGACTTTCTCCCCCAAAAAGAAAAAAAAGGAAAAAAAGGAAAAGTCAAATGAAATATTGGATTTATAAAAAAACTTGGAAATAAAATCCAAAAAATAATATAATTAATACAATAGCTAAATTAATTAAAAAAAAAGGAATAAATGAATATTTAGAAAAAGATAAGGAAATCGTAAAGTCATTAGCAGACTCGAATTAAGTTAAAAACGCGGTTTGTAGAAAGCGCGTACGCTGAGGCAAATTGGCGCTAGCTGGCGCCACGCGTTTTGGTGTAGCGCCAGGCGCTACACTTAGAGTTTGGCACCAGGCTTTGGCGTCAGGCGCCAAGAGTTGGCGTCTGGCGCTAAAGAGCGCTGATCCCAAATCCTTCCCAGATTAAAACTGCTCCGATTTTGTGCATAAATAGCCCCCTTCCCAGCCAATTCTCTTCATAATTTCAGCAGATAAAATATTTCTTAGCTTTTAGAAAAATAATAACATGTCTCTAGTCACCAAAACTTTTACCAATTACACCCATAAATGGTGTCAGTCTCTTAATGCCAAAGAAAGAAAAGAATTAGATGTGTTTCACTTGGGGGGTATTTATGGTATCAAATGGGTAGATCTTGACTCAGATTTTATTCATACCGCTCTAGAATATAGGGATGTAGATACCCATTGCTTTAGAATAGGGTATGATGAAATTAGCCCTTTGCCGGAAGAATTTGGTGCTATTTTAGGTTTCCCTGCAATGAATCTTGTAGTAATCCCTAGAATAGATGCATATTATTATAAAGATTTTGAACGCTTCTTCAATTCAAAAGACAGGGATTTATAAAAAATAGTAGATGGTAACATAGTTAATTTGAAAGAATTTGCTCGGCATTATTTTGATAGACCTCACTCTTAATCTTTTCATGTTTATAGAAGAAGGGCTTTCTTATTTTGTATGCTTAATCAATTTTTTCTTACTAGTGGTAAAAATAATGAGGGTCAATTAATTATAACCACTGTATTAGAACAAATTAAATCAGGGAGAAATCCAATGCCTTTAATAGTTGGAGAGACTATGATTAGCCTTGATGAATTAAAGAGGGATCCAAAAGCACCTTTTCGGGGCTCTCTAATTTTATTACAGATAGAAAAATAATATTTTTGATTACAGAAATCAAAAAAATATTATTTTATAATAATAATAATTTATTTGTAATGCAATTTTTTTACAGATGTGGCTAATGGAAAGGCTGGAATTAATTAGCCATCCAGACAATATTGAGAAGTACACTCCAAATTGCTTTGTGAGGAGGAAGAAACGCTTCTCTAAGATGGGGCGCCACGAATGGAAGAAGGTCTTCGAGTCCTGCAATTTTTCCATCAAGTGGGTCATCCCTTGGTGGAAAATAGAAAGGATGGTTGGTGTCAACAAGCAACCATTCTGCCGTCTTCCAAGCTTGTCTCGTATGACTTTTTATTATCCCTGCAGGGTAAAAAGACAATACGGCCTACTTCAGACTATTCCTTCCGGAGATCTTCGTCTTCCCTACGAGTTCCCTGTCTCCCAGGAAGTAGACAAATTTGATGCTTATTGGAGCGCTAGAACTTTATGGGAAGTAATTACCCAAAAGGTTCCTCCTTCCCTGCCCAATAATGTGAAAAAGTGGCTCATGAAGAAGCCTTCAAAGGACGTGAAGAAAAATCAGGGTTAAACTGATGTGAAGAGTCGTCTAGGTGACAAGGTGATTCCTGCTAAGGAACGCTTAGGTGAAAGAGTTGAGTTCAAAACACCTACAATGCCTAGGAAGAAGAGTACTGCAAAAGATAAGGGGAAAAGGAAACTGACACCACAGAAAAGAAAGCTTGGGTAGAAAAGAAGCATGGTGTCCTAGCTGAAGGGGAAACTATCTACTCCAAGATTAAATGTAGGTCCTCTAAAGGATGCCTACTAGCTAAGGTTATGGATGAGGAGGAGGAATCAGACAAAAATTGGAAAAGGGCTAAGAAAGAGAAAAAAGATTAAGAGCATTGCTTAATTTCCAATTATTAGACTTAGATTATTTTTTTATTTAAAGTTAATTTATTTAAGCTTTATTTAAATTCCATCAATAATGTAATTTATTTTATTAATGAAATTCCAGCTTTTTAATTAAATTATTTACTTTAAATTTATTTTTATTAAAGCAATGAAAACCGAAAATTCAATTTTCCAGAAAGTTTTTCGAGTACGGAAGTCGAAAATTTTTCGAAAACACCAAATATTCCCAGACTTGTAACTGTAAATTGGCGCCACACTTTTGCGACTGGTGCCGGCTGCGGTAATCTGGCGTCAGGCGACGGTACCGTCGGCTGGCACTGATGTTCATCGGCTGGTGCCAATGTTCAACGGCTGGCGCTGGAACGTTTTTCGTGACGCCGATATTTCGTCGAGCTTTTGTTGAATTTTTTATTAATTCTGGGATGCGAGATTTTTGAAAAATAAAGTGGTCGCACCCGTAAAGGGTTGCCTACGTATCCTTTCTTAAGGAATCAGGCTAGACGTAGCTCTCTTGAGTATCCTACTCAAGTAATTATGGGTAGTATTTCTTAAGTTGGTTAAGATTTGTCATGTTCGAGAACTCATTGCCATCCATATCAGTTAATTTTGCTACACCTCCTGACAGGATTGTTTTGACAATGTAGGGTCCAGACCAATTAGGTCTAAATTTACCCCTTGGATCCAAAACATTTTTCCTTAATGCTTTTAACACCAAGTCACCTACTTTGATGTTTCTTGTCTTGACCTTCTTATTAAAATGCCTAGCCATACGATTTTAGTAACACTTAGTGTGATGTAGAGCTCCTAGTCGTTTTTCATCGAGTAGAATTAATTCTTCATATCTTGCCCTAGTCCATTAAACTTCATCGAGTTTTCTCTCTAACGCGATGCGTAGAGATGGAATCTCTAGTTCGACAGGTTGTACGGCATCCATTCCGTAAACGAAGGAAAATGGCGTATTTCCAATTGATGTGCGAATTGACATGCGATAACCCCACAATGCAAAGTGAAGTTTTTCAGGCCAATCCTTATAATTTTCCGTCATTTTCTCGAAGATAGTCTTTAGATTTTTATTAGCTTCCTCGACAACTCCATTTGTTTGAGGCCTATAAGGGGAAGAATGATGATGTTGAATGCCATATTTTTATAGCTATTCTTTACATTCGGCTTGAAAGTGAGTTCCATTGTCACTTATCATTTCATGTGGGACTCCGTATCGACAAATAATATTTCTCTTGATAAAGAGTGCTACATGTTTTGCAGTGAGTTTAGCGTAAGATTGCGCTTCGACCCACTTTGAGAAGTAATCAATTGCTACTAGGATATACTCATGGCCTCCTGTTCCTGGGGGAGTGATTTTTCCGATGATGTCAATTCCCCATGTAGAGAATGGCCATGGTGACGTATAGGTGTAGAGCAAGGATGGAGGAACATGTTGTAAATTGGCACAGATTTGGCACTTAGGGCATCTTTTTACGTATTGATGGTAATCCATATTCATTGTAGTCCAATAATATCCTCCTCGCATTATCTTTTGAACTAACATTTTGCCATTTATGTGAGTGCCACAAATTCCTTCGTGGACCATCCTCATTGCTCTTTGTGCATCCTTTTTTCCTACACATAAGATAGCTAGACCCTTAGGTACCCTTTTATGTAGCTCATTGTCTATGAGTACATATTGGGAAGCCAAGAGTCTTAAAGCTTGTTTTGCTCTTTTGTTAGCATGGGGAGGGTATTCTCCTTTGGTGACGTAGTTCAGTATATCCGTGTACCACGGTTCTTCTTCTTCTTCTTCTTCTTCTTCTTCTTCTTCTTCTTCTTCTTCTTCTTCTTCTTCTTCTTCTTCTTCTTCTTCGTCTTGGATTACTTCATCATCTTCTATAGCCTGAATGTATGCCGATTTATGCCTTTTTTCTATAGTTAGAGGCATTTGCTCAGTTTCCGTGGGAATCCTAACCATTGAGGCTAGTCTTGCCAGGGCATCAGCAAATTGATTTTCTTCTCTAGGTAGATATGTGTATTCTACCTTCTCTAACTGATTAGTGAGAGTTTCCAG